GGTGGTCTGTGAAGGAGGGGCCCCGATTGGGGAGGGCGGGGGGGGGGGGGGGGGGGGGGGGGGAGGAGGGTGAGAGGAGACCGGGGCAGGGAAGCGCATGCGATCGGGGCGGTTGGCCGGATGCCGGAGGGGCAGATGTGGCTGGAAAGTGGGCCCATGGGCGGCCAGTGCGCACCTCCTGCAGGGCCTTTCCATCGGCGGCCACGCGCTTGTCAAGTGGGACCACATGTCCCTTGGCGTTCTTGTAATTGGAAATCGAGGGGGGGATATACCAGGCGGCCTGCTCCTTGGCGGAAAGGGCACGCGGGGGGGACCGCATGACCGGGGCCGTCGGCTCCGAAGGGCCTTCACAGGGCGGAGGAGAGGGACAGGGCCGGATCAGTGCACTGACGGACGGGGCGGGGTGCGGTGGGGCGGCAATGGGGAGAGGGATGGGAGGACACAGAGGGGAGTCAGGACCAGGGGAGGTCCAACGCACCGACCGGGAGCTTGCGCGCGCGGAACTTCGGCGGCTCGAGGGGGTCCTGCTTGCGCTGGATCATCATGACGACGCGCTCTTTGGTTTCGTTCTGGGGGGTGTAGTGGATCATCGTCGGGGCCGAGGTCTCCTTGAGGATGTTGCGCGTGGGGTTGGCGGCCTTCATGCGATTGGCCAGCTGCTTGTTGAGGGCCTCGCGGGTGGCCTCGATGGTGCTCTGCTCGGTTTCCTCGTCGGGCCGGTTGAAGGACGGGTCCGACGGGTCGATGTCCTTCGGCAGGAGGTCCTGATAGCGATGGACATTGTTCTGTGTCGGGGAGTGGCAGGCACGGAGAAGGGGGAGGGGGGGGGGCGGGTCAGGCGGAGGCCACATGTCCGGGGGGCCAGGCCAGGCAGGCGCGGCGGGAGATGTATGTGGGTGCATGGGGTGCCAGCCAAGGGGAGGGATGGGATGGGGATGTACCTGTGACCCGCGAACCAGAGCTCCGTAGTCACGACGCCCTTGCTCATCGATGGCGGTCAGCTCGTTGCCCTTGGCCGGGCCGCCGGACGCGCGGGCCCCCGCCGCATGGGGCACCAGTGCCGTAGCACCGGTGCTGGATTGGGCAAGCTGAGTCTCATTGTCGGAGTCGGAATCCGAGCTGGAGGTCACGTCGTCATACTCATCGCCGAGCAGAGACTTGGGCTTGTTGGCCGCGAGGATGCTACGGGCAAATGGGGAGAGGGGGCCTGTCAGGAAGGCGAAAAGGGCACCTGCGAGCAGGGCTTCCGGGGGCAAGCTGTGGAGAAGAGGGGGGAGGGGCGGGGGGGGGGGGGGGGGAGGGGGAGAGAGGGGGCATCACGGACCTGACGAGGGAGTTCATCGTAGGACAGAGGCGATCGTGACTGGCGCACGCGTTCAGAAGGCCGAGATCAAGAAGGGAGCTGGGAGAAAGATGCCGAGGAAGGGGCGATCCTCCGGGTGCGACGGGGCAAGGGCGCTGACAATAGCAAAAGGAGCCCAAGGAAGAGGTAGCGAGGAGATGGGCGTGCGGCGGAGGGAGAAAGGGGGGAAGGGAGGAAGGGACGGGGGGGAGAGGGGAGCTGTCGGGGTTTTATTTGCGGGGGGAACACGCAGGCTGCCGAAAACGGCGGTCGTGCGTCTTTCCTGCTCTCTCTGCCTTTCTCTCTCTGGCTCTCTCTCTCGCTGCCAACGCCAGCGGGGCGGGAGCTGCCAAGGGGCGGCAGGGCCGTTCGGCCGGCCGGGCTGCACGGCGGTAGATCATTTTCCGACGATTGGAGGCCGTGCGAGACAGACTCGCGTGATTCCCCCGCACCACACGCATTCATCACATGTCCACAGAATGGGGCCCGGCCATCTTTGGTTTTGTCAGGCCGCCGACCGTGTAGCCGGGGGGGG